AGTCAGCCACACCTCGCCAATCAGCTCGGCGGACGCCGCCATGGGGCTGTCATTACCCGCGGATCAATGCGCCCAAGGCCGAAGCCACGAAGACGACGACGTGCCTTCCTTCCAATGGAGGGACGCGCTCGACTTAAAATCCAGGCCCAACTCGGAGCGTTTCCAGAGCCACGACGCCGCCCACGGCTTGCCCGACACGCCGAGCGCCAGCCCGACAAACGGCAGAAGCTCTGCAGCCTGCCTTGCCGCGTGCCCCGTCCAGTGGTTTCCGAAACCCGCCGTGGCCTCGATTGAGTATCCTTAATCCGATCCCCATCCCCAGCGGCGTGGCCTGGGCCCCGCTGGCCGATTCACTCCCCTAGATGGGGATGTAGGTCGTCCCCTTCGGGGTTCAAGGGGTGTATCCCCAATTGGGATGGTAATTTGGTGGTGGTCTCGAAGGGGATGGGGATGGGGATGGGGATCGGTTGAACGATACGATCGATGAAGCCCCAATTGCCCTGCGGCGGGTCCAGCACAGGCTCGCCCGAGACACTCGCGCAGTCTCCAAAACGCCCCCGGGCGTGGGCAGCGAGTACGAAGTATCCCAGCACCACGACCTCGGCCTTGGACAGCGCGGCGCGGCCGTCTACGATGACGCCCTCCGCCTGGGGCAAGTGCGCGGTCTTGAGGGGCGCTCGCTGCCTCCTCGGGCTTTTGCTCTTGAGTCCCTTCGCCACCAGGCCCCGGGGCCACGTCGTGAGGGCATCGTCCACGCCCGCGGGGCCGAACATGCCCCATGCGTATGCCACCGCCTCTAAGAACGAGGTCCCTCGCGAGGGCGACTCCTGGATCGCTTCCCGGACAAAGAGAAGGAAGGGGTCGCACCCGGAGCGGCGCGGCCATGTGAGGTAGAAGCCTGCCGCCCCCGCCCTCTTGTTCATGGTCGTGGGCCGCTTGACCTCCAGTATGTCGCTGACAGCCTGGCGAATCTGGGCGGCCGGCACGGCGTGTGCGCCAAGCATGCTATGCTGGCCCGCCGCCACGGCAATGAACACCCACTCCTTCACGAACCCGTTGTTGGAGGCTTGGAACTTGACACCAACACCAACACAGGGGGGGTGCCTCCACCAGGGGAAGATGATCCCAGATTTTGGTGGTGGTGGTAATCTTTCGGCCGCCTAGGAAGCCAGAATATTGCCACCATCACCGAGATTGGGATACTCTTCCCTCGGTGGAGGTATAACGCCGATATTGGTGTTGGTGTCAACCTCTAGACCTCCGACGTTGATATCAAGCACCGGAGCCAGCCCATCGGATCTCTGGGCTGGCCCGTGGAGCTGGCGCTTGGGCGCCGGGCGTCCGGCATCCGCTGCGGGGGCGCCGCTGGAGCCACCGCCGTGACTTCCAGCGCGCTGGCGGCGGGGCTGGCGGTAGCAGCATGGATGCCGGCCACGGCTCTCGAACCACCTCTCCAGGGAAGCCGGATCCACTCACCATGGCTCCCAGCACGCCCCTGTCCCACGGCATCGACGGAAATATCCTGGGGAAGCACCCCCCGCCCCCTCCCCTTCCTCGAGCACAGAAGGCTACGGAACACGAGTGCTCTGCATGCGTACATACGTTCCCATCGACGTCCTGAGAATCGACGTTTATGTTTGCCTGTCTTGTTGTTCCCTCCTTTTCTCTGACGGTCCCAGGGCCCGGCGAGGGTCCCAAGGGGCACGGCCAAATACTGGCCGCTCCATTTTTGCTCGGAGCCTAGTCGGGGATCTTTCGGTTCGGGTCAATCCAAGCCTGGGTCAGTCGGGCTCTGCGGCATCCTACAAGGTCATGCGGGATCCTGCAAGATCCTGCGCGCTGGCCCGGGTCAGTGCGGCCCCGGCTTTGCAGAACCCTGGAAGATCTGACGCTCTGGCTGACCCCCGTGTGCACTGCAAGACGAAGCCAGGACGAGGATAACATCGGGTGAGGATGCATCGAGGACCTCCGAGAGCCGGCGGCTCTGGAGGACGTCTCGGGCTTCTCAGAGCGTTACAGATCGCTCTGAGGGCGTTCCTAGAGGCCTCCAAGATGGGGTCCGAGTAGATGGGGACTAGAGGATCGCGCCGCATCGGCGATACATCGGCGATACCGCGCCGATATCGCGCCGATGCATCGGCGACGTCGGCATGGAGAAAATCGGGCTCCACATCGAGCCGCTTCGGCGACGAATCGCCGATGCATCTGCGATGCGGCGCGATCCTCTGACCCCGTCTACTCCGACCCCATCTGGGAGGCCAAGGAGTTTCGGAACGCTCTGAAACGGACTTACAGTAGGAGCTCGACCACGGGAAACCTTCCACAGGAAACAAACCCAACCCCGAGACCACAGGACGCCCATTCATTTCTGGTGTGGGAAGGCCACGCTCTCCACAGCAAATCCACAGCAAATCCACCGAAACCCACGACACCCAGGGCACCCTGGAGGCTAGCAGGGTACTTGTCGGCATGGGCTTCCTCTGCATCCTCGTCCCAGCGTGTCATCCTACAGGGGGAGTTGGGACGAGATAAAAATCAACAAAAAATCCAATTGTCAAACAAAATCCACAATTGTCAAAACTTGCCAAACATGAAACAAACACCTGTCAAAAAACAAAAAACAAAAAACACAAGTGCCAAAACTTGCCAATAATAAACCAAAAATCGTCCCCTGACGATGTTTAGACTATGTCTGAATATTCTGGCGCCTCGACGACCCGCGCGGAGGCGCGGCGCCCGCCCGGCGGCGACTCCGCCCACGGTTAAAGGGAGGGGCCCAGGGACACGCAAACAAATAGACACGAATCCCAGGATTCCCCATACTTCCCCATATTTTTGGGGGGTTCTCGTCTTCCCCCCCCCGCTTCCCATAGATTCCCATGGTTTTTTCCTGGGGATCGAGGATTGACTGTGTCTGTGTGTTCCTTTCCCTCCTGAGTCAGGTCGGGCATGTTCATGCAAGCGGGGCTTGGACGAGAAACCGAGAACAGTCAAACAGCGCTCAACCAAAACAGCACGGACAAAAAACGCCCCCAGGCTGTTTCTTTGGCTGTTTGGGAATGTTCCTCCTGCAGAGGGCCGTGCCCGACTTAGACGCGAACGGCCGCGCGCGCAAAACTAAGTAAGGAGCCGAACTCTATACACCGACGCCTTTTCCGGCCCCGCACTGAAACTCGCACAGGAAAGCGGATCCTGGTGTATACGGGATCCTGGTGTATACATCTTTCGTTGCTTCCCAAGGAAAGCGGGGAAGAAATGCACACCACACCACCCCGATGTCGTCCCCGACCCATTAAAAACTTGGGATTGAAAAATTGAGCCCCATTTGGGAGCTGTTACGCCGGAATGGGCCGTGGACTAAGCGGGATGAAGCCGGATTACGCGGGATCAAGCGGGACGAAGCCGGATTAGGAGGGATTAAGACCAGGGCGAAAACAGAATTTGACCTCCCAGGAGTTGCATCCGAAGTGGTGTACATGCTCCTCCTCCTCCTCCTCCTCCTCCTCCTCCTCCTCCTGCAAGCATGAAAAGAAGTCGGAAAACCACCCACGATGGCCGTCGCCGCGCAGTAGACGACCTCGACACGATGGACGCCTCCGAACAGGCGACGAACAGGCGACGAACTGGTAGAGCAGCTCGACACGATGGACGCCTCCTCCTCCTCCTCCGAGAGAGAGAGAGAGAGAGAGAGAGGGGGAACAAACAAACAAAAATCAGGGCTGGGCCCGCACCAAGAGGCCGCTCGGGCGACGGGCTGCTCCTCCGTGCCGCCAAGCCTCCGCAGCCGAAGCTTCCGACGGAGAGGCCGCCCGCGCGGGCCGAGGCGGCGGCCGCGGAGGCCGCAAGGGGGCAGCCGCAGCGGCGGGCGGGGCCCTGCGCGGGCGGCCGCGCGGGGAGGGGCGCGCCGAGAGGTGCCCGCGGGGCGCGCGCCGCGAACCGCCGCGGCGCCGCCTCCCGACGCCCAGCGACAGGGGCCCTGGGACACGCAAATAGAAATACGCACACAAAGAAAGGATGCCCCACATCTCCCCGTGCTCTCGGGGTACTGTTCGTCTTCCCCCCCCCACCCGTCCCATAGTTTCCCAGATCTTTCCAGGGGGATCGAAGAGGAATGGTGTCGGCGTGTGTGTTTTTGTCTCCTCCTGATAGACGCTGTTCTGCGATTTGTGCTGTCGTCGTGCTTAGCTGCTCGCGTGGCGGTGCCTGCTCGCCCGTGCCTCCCTGCCCGCCCCCCCCCCAAAAAAACAGCGACGACCACGAGGCACGCTCCGAAGCCCGGCAGCACAGCGTCGAGACCCCGGCCCTGCCCGGCACCGACGCGGGGATCGCTCTCGACCTGGGATCAAGATTGAAGGGGCCCCAGGACACACAAATAAATACACACAAATAAAAAGATTCCCCATGTTTTTTTTTCATTTTTTGGAGGGCTTCCGTCTTCCAACCCACTTCCCATATTTCCCCGTATTTTCTCGGGATCGACGATTAATTCTGTCTGTGTGTTTTTCCCCTCCTGAAAGATGGCGAGCGGGAATAAGATCGAATATGAGGAAAAATCTAGAACTCTAACGAATTCTCAAATTCCGAGAAATTCATCTTTTATATCGACCAACATAAAGACATAACTTCAGTCGAGGTGCAACGGCGACGTCGGCGGCGCAGCGGCGACGCCGGCGTAGAACAGGTCTCTCACGGGTCCCACTGGTGTCGCAAGGGTCGCAGGCCCCAGAGATCCAACGCGCGCGACAAGGACAAGTCCCGCCGGTACCACACACCACACAGGTCTCGCAGATCCCACAGGTCCCCGTTCCCACACTTCCCACAGGTCCAACAGGTGTCGCAACTCCTGGGCCTGCACAGGCTGATCCCAAACTTCGGGTTGACTGCTTCCCCCGTGATATGGTCCACCGCGAGCTCCCCGATTTCCCGATCAAACCAATTCGCCTGGGCGTCGTTGCTGGATGGGATGGCGGGGATACTTTTTGGTTCGCGGCTCCAAGGCGGATGACAGGGAGCAACGACAGCGTCCGGGGCGCGTGACGATGTAAATTGGCCACCGAGGCACATGCACGTGCAAGGGACAAAATGACCAACTGGCGGGGATACGCGACACGTCAAAAACTCAGACCCGCACCCTAGGAAACAATCCATCATCTACTCCAGGGGTATAAGAGAAACCCAACAGCAGCCCCACAACTTCTGGACCTCTTGGCCTCGGGGCACCCTGCACACTCCCTATCTGACGGCGACGTCCGGAGCAAAGTGCCATCAGGTCCCCAGCGTCTTCCGCCCTCAATCTGAGTTCACGAAATTGACAACCCCTGGGGGGCCACGGCCTGCAACAGGTAGCCCTGCAGCACGCATCCCGCTGACTGGGCACCCCTCCAGGAGCCTTTAGACGACAACTGTAAAGATCCGGGAGTCCATCCAGGCGGCCTCTGATCCACAACCCAAGCACGGCAGCGGACTGGGCCGAAGACATCAAGATAACGCCATACACGCCGGTCGGAAGAAGTGGTTAAAAACATGAAGTAGGAAGGCGTTGGAAGTAGATTGGACGTCCGCCCGCCCCCTAAAGAGGAGGAAAGAAGGAAAACCGCTCGACTCTTGAAATAGGAAGGCGTCTAAAGTATATTAGGATTTGGGCATCCAAGAATGCCTACTTTCAACGACCAGCGTGTATACATGGATCCTTCGACACATGGCAACAAACAGCCCGGATACAGGCATACAACTGGCTGCTTGCGCTGAACTGCACCACCGAACGTCGTGCAGCACGCAGCACGCCTGCGCGGTGCCATCTCGTTCCGATCCTTGCTGCCCGCTTCTCCAACCAAGACCTCAACCCCGTGAGATGTGCTGCTAGCTGGCACGGAGGCGCGTTCTGACTAGAATTCCGACCCGAACCACTCCGTGGGTCCGTGGAGATGAAGACACTCAGGAGGCCCAGCAGAAGGCGACACCCCGGCAACGCGCGGGGACCATGTCTTCGCGCCCTCGCGAGGCCTTCATGGGGAAAGGCTCGATGTTGGTCCGAAAACCCTCTGCTGGGAGATTCCCCATCGCGTGCCTCCACTGGGCCCAGGTACCCTGCAGAGAAGGAGGAGGAGGCGGAGCGGGAGCAGGGCGAGCGACAGGAGGCAGGCAGGCCGACGGCGAAACCGCTCCTCGCCTCACGCGTCCTCAGCACTGCGCATCACCATGTACAGCTGGCCAAGCAGGAGCCAGCACTGCGGCACAGAGGTGACAGCAACAGGGCCCCGAGAGGGACCTCCCGAGGGACCGAGGGGCGTTCAAGAGGGCCCCAGGACAGTCCCAGGGAGTCTCCCGCGGGAGGCGGCCCAAGAAAGCCCTGCGACGGCCCAGAAGGGCGCGAAGACATGCATACGGCCAGGAGGAACCCAAGACAAATCAAAAGAGCGCCAAGAAGGCCTAAAAGGCCCCCCAGACCGCTGAAGAGAGCCCCACTTATCTGTCGATATCACGAGCTACATGTAAGACTCACTAGCTGTCTGAATAGATATACACACATATACACGGCGTCTTCGTCCTCGTCCTTCTCGCCCGTCTTTTCCAACTGCCCCTCACCAGAGCATATGCGGCGGCACTGGACGTAAGACTACCTCAGTCACACAGGTTTCACAGGTCTCACAGGTCACCCTGCTGAGGAGTAGGAGGAGGAGGAGGAGGAGGGGGAGGAGGAGGAGAAGGGCGAGGAGGAGGAGAAGGAGGAGGAGGAGAATGAGGAGGAGAGCGAGACGAGGGGGAGCTGGAGCCGCTCGTGCCGCTGGACCTCAGGTCACACAAGTCCCACACGTGTCGCAGGTCTCATAGGCCCCCCAGGCCACGGAGGTCTCCCAGGTCGCACAGGTCCCACCAGTCCCACAGGTCCCACGGGTCCCACGGGTCCCCAGTTCCCACCTGCCCCACAGGTGACACACGTCGCACGGGCCACAGAAGTCACAGGTTCCACAGGCCCTGCAGATCGCATAGGTCCTACAGCTCCCGCCTGCCACAACTGGACCACCTTCGCGATTATTATCCTCCTCCCTCATCCTCCTCCTCCTCCTCCTCCTCCTCCTCTTCAGAGTGCTTCCAGATCGGCTATGACACACGCCCGCGGATAGAGACAGATCAGTGGAATGGACAGGGATGGGAGGGAGGGGATAGGATGTCAAATGTGGCGCGAGCGCATCTCGCTTGCCTCTCTCCACTCTCCTCCCACCTCTCTCCTCCTCCTCTCCTCCTCTTTCCCTCCTCCTCCTCCTCCTCCTCCTCCTCCTCTACCTCCCTCCTCCTTCTCCCTCCTCCTCGTTTAACTCCTCCTCCGAGAAGAAGGAGGAGGAGGAGGAGGAGGGCGCACCAGGATGACACCCCCGCCCCGGACGGCGGCACCCGCGGACATCCCTGACAGGCTGCGTGCAGGGGCCCGTACGAGTTGCGAGCTCTTGCGGCGGCCCTCCAGAGGCTGGCGCTCGAGCGCGGGCCGTGTTTCCCAGAAATCGAGGGGGCGATAGGAGGCGACTAGCCTGACTTCGGGCATGTCCTTCTACAGGCGCATGTTCGAAAACATAACAAATAAAACATATCCAGAAATGTTCCAGACATGTTTTGACTACCTCTGACTGTTCCCAACTGTAGAGGGACATGCCCGATTTAAGACTAGCCTGGGGGAGAGCAATACACGTATCCAAGGTCACCGATGGTCCATACCTTCGGCGAGGATCACGGGCGAGTACGTGTAATGCCCGCCCTGGGCGATTCGCCCCTATCGTCGCCTCCGAAGAAATCCCACCCCCAGTCGCGGCACCAATTCAGCAAGTCTGCCCCCCCGGTCGTGGTCGGGACTGGGAGGGGCCAATTTGGGTTACGAAGTGCGACGGCCTCTCATCTTCTTCCCCCTCTTGCCCACTTCTCCAAAAGAACCCCGAAGCGTCGGGAAGGGTCCTTCCGCGTCCTCCTCCGCTGCGTTGGCGACCTCCAGCGCCACCACCAACTTCCGTGGCAGCAGAGTCACCTGAAACGGACGGGCCTTCACTTCTGCTCCTCCTCCTCCTCCTCCTCCTCCTCCTCCTCCTCCTCCTCCTCCTCCTCATCATCATCATCATCATCATCATCATCATCACCATCATCAGCATTGTCATCGTCATCGTCATCGCCATCGTCATCGTCGTCCTCATCATCAGCATCATCATCAGCAGCATCATCAACAGCAGCAGCATCCTACTCATCATAACCATAATCATACGCGTAACGATAAACAAAATTATAATCAGCATCCTGCTCCTTCTCCCGCTCATCCTGCATCTAGGCTCTCTGGTTCTCGCTGTAGCTTCACATATTGCCCCAGCTCATGCTCCTGCGCGTCCTCCACTCCCTCGCCCTCATCTTCCTCCTCATTTCCTCCTCGCCCTCCTCCTCTTCCTCCTCCTCCTCCTCCTCCTCCTCCTCCTCCTCCTCCTCTGATGCTTCCACGTCCTACTCCACCCCGCCCCCCTCCTTTCCATCCCCCTGCGTCTTCCTCCTTCCTCATTCTCCCTATTCCCTCCTCCCGCCCCTCCGCCCCCCTCCTCCCTCCCTCCCCCCCCACATCCTGCTCACCCTCGCGCAGGGGGGAGGGGGAGGAGGGGGAAGCATGAGGGCAGAATCCCTATGGGACTCGAGTGCCAGCATTGTCACGAGGAAGCAGCGGAGGAGAGGGGAGGAAGGATGAGGAGGAAGGACGGGGAGGAGGGAGGAGGAGGAGGAGGAGGAGGAGGAGGAGGAGGAGGAGGAGGAGGAGGAGGAGGAGGAGAGGAGGAGGAGGGGGAGGGGGACGAGGGGAGGAGGGAGGGAAGGGGGGGGAGGAGGGACGAGGGAGAGGGCAGCATCCCAAGGGACTCGAGGACTCGAGTGCCAGCAGTGTCACGAGGAGCAAGAGGCGGAGGACTCCGACGCCACGGGCGCCCAAGCGGCGTGCCCAAGAGAAGATGGAGGGGAGGATCTGCGGCAGGTGCCGGAGGCTCGTAGGCGCCTGCCCTCGGGGAGGAGGAGGAGAAGCAGGAAGAGGAGGAGAAGGAGGAGGAGGAGGGGAGCAGGAGAAAGGACGAGGAGGAGGAGGAGGAACGAGGGCGGAGGAGGAGGAAGACGAGGAGGGGAGGAGGAGGAGGATGAGGAGGGGGGGAGGAGGAGGAGGAGGAGGAGGAGGGGGAGGAGGAGGAGGAGGAGGAGGAGGAGGGGGGGAGGAGGATGGAGAGGAGGAGGAGGAGGAAGGAGGAGGAGGAGGAGGAGGAGGAGGAGAAGGAGGAGGAGGAGGAGGAGGAGGAGGAGGAGGAGGGGGAAGGAGGAGGGAGGAGGAAGAGCGGAGGAGAGGAGAAGGAGGAGGAGGAAGGCGGAGGAGGAGAGAAGAAGAGGAGGAAGGAGGAGGAGGAGGAAGAGGAGGCGGAAGAGGAGGAGGAAGAGGAGGAGGAGGGGGAGGAGAAGGAGGAGGATGAGGAGGAGAAGAGGAAAGAGGAGGAGGAGGAGGAGGAGGCCCAGTCTGGGGCGGACGGACCACCGTTAGGCCACAGCAGCCGCACTGCAGCCACCGCCTGTGGACCGTCGGGGGGGGGCTCAGATCGCGTTGGTGAAGGGGCCCAGGGGCACAAAAAAATAGACACAAATCCCAGGATTCCCCTATATCCCCTACATTTCCTGGATGCTCGTCTTCCCCTGCTCTTCCCATACTCTATACATGTTCCGGGGTATCGATAATTATTTGTGTCTGTATGCTTGTTTCCCTCATGAGTTGGGGGGGAACGCCTCGGGGGGGGGGAACATTGTAATACATCACAGGCAGACTGGCGAGTGGCCCCCCTTAGCGGCACGGCACGTCCCTGGGCGAGGTGGGCAATGAGTCCCCTATCGGACATGAGCGAAAGATTGGGGGTCGATCTGCGCCCCCTCCTCGTGGCATGGCACCACCGACTGCCGGGTCTCCCGAGGTTCCAGGCCTGGCTCTGAGCAGACAGGAGTTCCATGCGACTTCTGTCTCGGCGCTCTCTCTGACGGCGACGGGGTCTGATCCATACGACGCTTCACCTCCCCCTGAACCTATCCTTCTCTCTCGTTGCCCCCAAGAACCTCTCGCCCCCTTCCCATCGACCAGTCATCATCCCGAGTAAATAATCCTAACCGCCCCGACGCCCAGAGAACAACCTCCGCATCCGCCGAAACACTGCGCACAACCCCCTGGCGCAACCTCAGCGTAAATCGAGTCGCCACACGTCCCCATATATCCGACGGCGTGATTGCTTCAATCCGCGGCCCAAGGGGGTCCCGACAACATCCCGCGGGGCAGAGTTTCGTCTCGGAGCACATCGTCAAAGTCCTGGGGCCCAGCAACATGGAACCTTTGAGGCTGCATACCCTAGACAGCTAGCTTCCAATGGGCCGAGGAGTCCACGATTTCACTACCAGCACGATTGTGACACACAACTGGGACACAACAACCTCTGATTAGAAATTGTAATTCGTCGGGTACGAATACGACTACGAAT